AAATTGTGACCCATCAATCTGAAGCTGATTCAGCTGCATTGTTAATGTTAAATTTGATTAGTATAAAAGTATTTTTATCCTTTTTGTCCAAAAATAAATGTCTTTGTTTATTTTTTAGAGTACTCAAACTTTTTTTATTGTCTATATTGCACTACACTCTGTTACATCTGTGTATTGTTTATAGTTTTTATGAAGTAATTCTGAATGTGTCCAAAATAAATCTCATTTGAATGGTGGTGAAATGAGATTCACTGAATCATTTCCTAAAGACTTGTGATTGAGTCGAATCATTAAATTCAGAGGTTCACACACCTAGTGAAGGTGGGGGTCAGTGGTGGGTAGTGAACAGTCAGGATGATGAATGGAGTACCGAGTGAGAGATGGATGGAAAAGGTGTTCTCTGGTCTAGACAGTAGTCTGAGCTGGTCTCCTCAGAGACTGAACAGTTTTATGAGGCTGTCAGATCTCTGTCCTGCCAAGGAATATTTTTCAGAGCTGTTTGGGTTCTAAATGATGAAACTGCTCTGTATAAAACAGTGTGTATACATGTTCCAGCTCACTGACCAGGTGTGTGTGTGTGTGTGTGTGTGTGTGTTTGTACTCCAGAGAGAGTTTGTTCTGTTGCTTCTCTCAGCCAAAACACTCTGCTTTATTCAGTCCAACCAGGTCATAATGTTATAATCCTACAGCTTGGTCTGTCTGTCTCTCTGTCTGTCTCTCTGACGGTCATGTCAGACAGTAAAACTTATGATTTATGTTTGAGTAGAAGTCCTAGAATTGGTATTATTGGTTAACAGAATATTTAATATGGTATTCATGTATGCGATTTGTATATTTATTGGGCTGTATTATTAAAAATGTAAAATGTTTGTTTCTGCTCACAGATCATAGTAGTTCTGGCTGTTCTGGGTCTTAAGTTTCAGCCTCAGAAAGCTGATACTACCTTGTTTTGCAATTGGCATCAAAATGAGAAGGAGGCTGTTATTTGTGAAACAGGAGATTGTGTGTGTGTGTGTGTGTGTGTTTTGAGAGAAATGCGGTAACATTTCTGTCCAAACCAATCAATCCTGTTGGTCAGGATTCCCTCTTTGATATCTCCAGTTCTGGTTGGGGCGTGGCCTTGTGACAGCCTTATCTTAGCACTTTCAATCAGTTATCTAAAACGCAAACCTGCAAGCATTGTTTCAGACAGTCTGTGTGTTTTGCACTGGCATTCCGGAAAACATTCATTTAAAAACCCAACCCTTACAATACAACCCGTACAGTCCCTTGGTATTGTTTCTTCTGCATCGTTGATTTCCTGTTAGGATTTAAGTGTGTATGGAAGTTACATGTATTGCAGTCATGGCACACCTGCACAGTGTACAGTGATCTCTATTAGCTGTCCCTGTTGATCATTTTAAATTAAGCCATCCTTTATTGATTTATCAAGTAAGCAAAGCTTTAACACCCAAACGGAACAGTTGTCATTTATTTTAGCATAATCACTTTCCTGCCTCTCTTTATCCCTTAGAATTAAATGGGCTGTTTTTTTACAAACGTGCCTTTAAGGTTGATGTGTCTAAATGAGCTCTGTTCTGATTAACTGCCCTATATTGTGCCTCATTCAAAACACAGTCCAGGCTACAAGACTCAGTGGGAGGATGCCTGTGAATGTTTTGGTTTTGGTGACCTTGGAAAAAACAAATTGTAAATGGGCTGTTTTTTGCAGCTTAGTTTATCCTCTCCTATGTAACACCCTTACATTAATCAGTATAGTGTTCACTTGTCCCTGCACACAAAGCGTGGGCGTGTGCCAGGTACATGAAGCATTATGAAAACAAACAGTTTTGCCGGCTACGCCATGAAGTGTTTGCACAGATTTTTGCTTTACAAGTGTTTACATTTTTACTCTGTTTTACTCTGAGGTTGGGGGGAAAACAGATTGAATGAATCAGCTTGAAAAACCCATCCAGCAGGTGGGGAGTAAACTTCATGTGATGAATATAACTTATCAGGTCTGGAATAGCGATCTGCCTTTGTTAGATACAGCAAACAGTGATATTGTTTTACACACCAACAAAAAGGTACAAAATGGAATTGAGGATGGGTGAAGCTTTAAAATGAGGCTGCAGGAGGGAAGAACTGAACACTGCTTCCATACAAGCAAACGGAAGGAGATACTAGAGCATGTGTAGTAGTATTTACACAGTAAAGAATACTTTTCAGTTGCAAACTTTTAGGAATGACTATTTATTTGTTTATTAATTTTACTTTTACAGGCCTATAAAAATTTGCAGTAATAATGGCAATACCAATACGAGTATTATTAGTATTAATGATTTTTATTGTTGTAGCATCATTATTACTATTGTTAATATTATAAATTTGGCTATGTTTTTTGATAGTGATAACATGAGCAGTAGAAGCAGGTACAGTCTAGGCATGTCATGGCTACTTGGTTAACTGTTTCAGGTGTCGGTATTCAATACTGAAATAACTATTGAGGTAATTGTTACGCACCATCACAAAGTCATGGAAATTACAGAACAGCAGGGTTGTAAAGCATGAACATCCCTGATACCGTCCACCTCATTTATTTATTTATTTATTTATTTATTTATTTATTTATTTATTTATTTATTTTACACATGTATACGTGCTGTGTGTATGCACTGTTTCACAGTGAACTTATTTGAAAGCCTCCTCCCTTTCCTGCATATCACCATAGATGCATCAGCATGAAGTGGCTTTTTTTTTCAGTGCTTTGCAGAAAGATGACCTCACCCTTCATCAACTCCTGCTCCCCCTCCCCCTCTTTGAATGTTCTTTCATTTTCTTCTTTTTCATTTCATTCTGCTTCTGCCTGTTCTTCCATCTACCTTCTGTAATGTTGTCTAAAAGAAATTGAATTTCTCCACTTCCTTCATTTTCTTACACACACACACACACACACACACACACACACACACACACACACACACACACTTTGTTCAGTCTCTTGCTTGCCGGTCCAGGCCGGTTTTTGAGTCTACACAATAGCGGTGCTGCCCAGGCCATCTGTGTAACTGTTGACAGGGAGCAGATCTCATAGGGAGGATCGGGGGAGGAAGACAGAAGAATAAGTAGAAAAGAGAGGAGAGTGGGGGGAAAAAAAGAGAATCCATGAGGGCAGTGTGGCTAAAGAAGGGGAGACTTTTGAAAGGAAAGAGGTCAGCGAGTGCACTGCCTTTTTTTTTATTTATTTTTTTTTCTGTCCTTTTGTGTTCTGTTCTTTTATTCTCTCAATGTTGGTCATAAGATGTATAGATTAAATGCAGTAAAAGGGATGAAGCAGTGAAGAGTTAAATGTTTTTGGCGAAAAGTGATGGCGATTAAAGCTATGTATGTTGTGGAGATTTGGAGACCTTTCTGGTCGAAATGTGTAATTGCATGCAACATGTGGAGCAACACTTTGTAACATGAGAGGTTTCAGCCCCCTTCCCCGAGTGGATGAATCTGAGGTTTGCCTGCACTTTGAGAGTACTCAAAGAGAACTTCTTTTTAAGACTTAACGTCACACACACACAAAGACAATGACGTGGTCCAAAAAACTCCTGCAAAATCCGACCCAGCACCTCTGACTTTTTGAATTATTACTTTAGGCTTTACAGGATGCCTTGCAGCAGCACGTACACCATATTTTACTGTGTGCATGAGGGAGGATTCCCCCCCCTTATTTCTCCCTCTGCTGACTCAGCAATGCTGCCCATTTCAGTGTTAACAAAAAAGTCTTACACAATGCCAGTTTTAAGTATTCCTCAACAAGTACTCTACAAACACTCTGCAAATGTATTTGTTGGTCATAGGGATGCAGGAATACGCTATATGTATTACATTTTTGATACAGAAGAAGTGAGACTGCAGTGCCTGTTAAATGACTTGTGTTAAACATGTTTTTATGTTATTTTTTGGTAGCTCTCTCTTATTGTTAAATATGAACAAAATTTGTCATAACACCCAGTTGGTCATGAATTGAATGAAGGCATTGGTGTTGATTAAGGATTTCCCAGTCATCTGTGCTTTCTTTATTCATATAGGCTAAAAACTTTAGTTTTTGGTTTTGTTGCTCTTTTATATTTTATTTGGTCAATCATTTTTTGATTGTTCACTGTGCCATAGTTTCATAAAATAAAAAGGCTATTTTTGTAGAGACCTGTGATTGACATAACCAGCATTTTTAAAATGGTGCATTGAGTGGTTGTGCAACTAAAGTACAAAGGTTGTGCATTCATGGAATTATAATTATTTAAGTATAATTAATTATTAAGCATTTCACTTACTGCAAAAGATTATTTCCTGTGACATTTTCTTGTGTCTGAATCTGTGGTTGTGGCTTCTTCCCATTTTCCTGTGGTTTGAAGGAGTTGTGAGTAAAATGAGTCTGTAATAAGATTTTTTTAGACATGATCTTCGCTCAGCTTTTAGGATTATGGTAACTCTTCCTGTGAGTTGTTTGACCTGGATTTGACCTTTTTGTTTATTTTGGGTCTTGTTTATTTCCTTTCCTGTTTGTGTTGACCGATGCAATGCATTAGGTGGTTCCATGTTGGAAATGCTATTTCCCTTTTCTCTTGTACTACTTTCCATTGTTTTCTTTGTCAACTCACTTGTTTAGGTCCTCCTTAATAGTGATACACAATTTTATGATAAGAAACGAGAGATATCATGATGTACAGATGGCAAATATTTTTGATATAAATGTAAAAAAGAAAAACCAACACCTTTTTGCTTTCATCCTTTTGATCACAGGCCAAATGACCACAGTGCCTGGTGAAAGCATAATTAATACAAGCAAGTAAGCAACTAAACTTAGTGTGAAATGATTCAGGTGAAGTACATGACAATAAAAAAAATTAATATTAACCAGTGTAAATTTTATTTATTTATTTATTTATTTATTTTACTGGAGTGCCAGATGTGTTAGTTTAATAAATGGATACTTGGATATTAACTGTTCTGTTTTGTTTTGTTTTTTGTAGGGAAATTTAAGTTGGCCTACCAACACCAAACCCTGGGATTAGTGCGTACAGCATTGAATCCAGTGAGCACGTACTGGAGCATCCAAAAACTCGCCAGGCAACGCGGAGATGAAACCTGATGACGTTGCCACGGTGCCGGCAGAGCCAACAGAAGCCCCTGAGGCGGCAGCTATAGCTGAGGAAGCTGCCACTGAGGAGCAACTCCAAGAAGAGAGTCCATCACCTCCACAGCATGAAGAGCCTAAAAATTTACAAGAGGGAGCAGACTCAATAGCGCCCCCTCCAGAAAAGAAAACTAACAGCAAGACATCACAGCCTGCAAACAAGACCAAAGCCCCAGTAAAGAACAAGCCAAGTACAGCAGTGACTAAAACAACCACAAGTGCAGCCTCTCGGTCTGCTCCAGCTCAAAATAGAGTGGCTAACGGTGTTACGAGGACCGCGGCAAATGGTGCAACCAAGAGACCTGCAACTGCAGCATCGGAGGCAAAGAAAACTGTCCCTGTTGGAGCAGCTGCACAAGCCAAAAAAGGCCCTGCTGCTACTGTAGCACTGAGGACACCGACTAAGGTGGCTGAACGGAAGCCTGTTGGAACTACTAGACCAGCAGTGGCCTCCACAAACAGTGGTACCAAACCAGGAGCAGTCGCAAATGCGACAGCATCACTGGGCAAAAAGCCAGCCACAGCATCTAACAGTGCTGCAGTCAAGCCCAAGACCACAGGTAAGGCCTATTATAGCAACTGGAATCGTCGTGTTGTGTTCCTAAATTTAAGAATATACATCCTAAAGTTAAGAATATACAAGAATAAACAGCTGGTTCTTTTAATAGGTCATTTTAAGTAAATGCTTAGACAATTTTATGACAAACAGAAAAATGAAAATTAGACAGAAAAGCTGACATCCTCTGAATTGGTCTTAAAATCTCGGCCTTTGTCTTAAAATCTCCCACCAGTGTAGCAGCTACCCATGGCTGGAAATTGTAATTTTGTTACAATGTGTTTTCTGACATTATTTCAGCAAACAGATGTGAAACAAAATGAAGTGGTTCAGTTGTTGTCTGATACTAGCACTAACAACTATACTAGTTGTTGTTAAAGAAGCCACCAAAACAGACCAGGCCACAATCTCTACCTAGCCTCAGAGAATGAATGGGGCCAGTAAAATGTTTCAGTGCTTGCTGTTCAAATGGCTTAGGGCCTTGTTTCTCAATCAAGCTGGTGAATTAGACTACTTGTCTAAAGCATAAACCACAGTGTCTGGAAAGTCTGCCCGATGTTCCTCAAAGTATTACACTGAAGAAACGCACACCACATATTCACAGTTGGCCAAGGAAGCATACTTAACGTGCTTTCTTATCTTCTTGAAATGATGGGTGCTACTATGAGATTTTAGTTGCTCTGTTTTGGGTAACTCAGAGTTTGATAGTGGTGATGATTATCAGTTATTTAGATGTGAGCAAAACAGTGTGAATGTGCAAAGCCACAGCTTACTTTATTGCACTCTTTACCATAGTTCTTTTGCTTTTTCTTAATCCATCTCTCTCCTCTCCTTGTCTTTTCTGCAGCACCAAGGCCAGCAACTGCTCCTGCTGCCAAACCCAGTGTTTCCACCACCTCCAGAACTGCTCCTGGTACCAAGACAACAAGGTAAGCCCATCAGTGAGGTATTGCTAAAAATATTGGGTGTGAATTTTTTCTTTTTCTTTTTAAAGATTAAGATCTGAGGCATTGGTCCATGGGTGATATAAATCTTCACATGAATGGTGAGTGATGTTTATGAACATTTGAGAGCAATATGTAAGTATATCCAATGGAAGAGATGTGAAAAGTACTTACGGCAGCCTGACAAAAAACTTATGCTACCATTCAGCAAACTGAAATTGAGAAGAAAAAAAACAAATTAAGAAGCATTCTTGTCGTTTTCACTTGGCAGTTAACCGACAAACATTAATGAGGGTTTGTGTTTGGGATACTCAGATAAATTGCCACAATGAAATTGTTAGACTTCAGTGTTTGCAAGATATGACAAAACTAAGCATAGTTTAATGTGAGGTTAAACTTTTGATATGAAAACACAAAGCATAGAGGCTACATAGGTTTCCATTAGTCTCATATTAAAACTGATGCTGATATCAGCCTTCATGATGTTTGCACATAATCCAGAGTTAAATCTCTATGTAATTTTCATACTCTCCTGTTTGGTTACTGTGCCCATAGGAATGATTTAAACAAAATGGAAAAACTGAAGTGTCTTTTTAAAAAAAAAAAAGCCATAAATTTGGGAAAGGGTATTTTTTGTGTTTCTGTGTATGCCTGTCTGTGTGGTTCTGTTTAAATAATCTACAGAGTAGTTTAATACTGCTTCAGCCGAGTCACTTAGGTTGAGAGCTGCCAAAACGAAAGAGGTTTGGTGGGGATTTTGCACTGAGGGCGCACACTTCAATTGTGGCATTTGACTGTGGGCTTTGGCAGTGAATTGGCCTCCTTTGCATGTTTGGTGGTTACTGCTTCATACTCTTGTCCTTGTCTGAGTCAAACGTACATGAGGAATAAAGTCAGGCTTTGATTAAAGGAATACCCCAGTGTTTCTCATCATGATCTCCATCTGCCACATCTGTAGTATACTCTGTTACCACGGACAGTTTCCAGTTATTCCTTTAACTGGAATTGTTCAAGTTTGGTTTTTAGCTTCCCAGGAGGATAAGCTGAGGTTTTCCTCCCCTAACTCAAGATGAATAATGGGACTTTGTTTGGTTTACTTCATGCTGACTTTCTTTTACTGCCTTATCTCTCAGTTTGTTCTTGATTTGAATGTTTAGCTTTTATTGTATTTGCATGAAATACTGATTGTCACTGTAGCAACTGCTGACTTCCTCCCTAATGCAGTGCTTTATTGGATAAAGAGCACAACAGCATAAATCCTACTATACACACACATACACACACACACACACAGCACCTCAAGAAAAATGTTTGTACACACAAACACACACAAAGCCCCTTTTATTTAATTTCGTTTCGAGAGCACTCTAGCACCGTCTTCTGCAGCTGACAGTTCTATTGAGGGCATTCTGAAGTGTTTTGTTGGCTCTCATCTGAACTTAAACTGGATTGTGTTCAGCCAGTTTTACAGACATTTATCAGCCTGTCATGATCTTAAGAAGCCTTTAAATTAGAACCATTTGTTGCCATGGCAAGTAAGTTTGTAATCTTTTCTGGACAGTTTTCCAGTGCAAAATTTGCCCAAAATCAATTGTGATTGTGTCTTTTACTTCTAACATGCATTGAGAACACAGGAAAAAACAGCAATTAAATTAATTCCTTCTCAAATTGGCTGAATAATTGTGGTACGTCATTTCAGTGTTTAACAAAATAATCAAGGGTACATTCCATCTAAAAAGTTTGGGTTCCCTCCCACTTTTAGCCCAAATTTCTCATGGATGTCACCAGACCTTCTCGTTACGATATTGTTTGGCCCTACAAGCCTTCTATGTTCTGAGCCTACTGTTGTAAATACAAGCTGTGAAAATGTGCACAGTGCCATATGATGAGCCTGTGCATGGGTGTGGTCAGCCAAGTTGGTGTTTGACAGACTTGGGGAGATGGAGGGGAAAAAAAAGAGGGGGGTTATGATGGACCAAGAGAAAGACACAGGGGGAGGGGTACAGAAAAGGGCACAGTGTGAAAGAGAACTGCCAAATTTGAACAGAAAGTAATACTCTGGGGGAAACTCTGGGACTTGTGTGTTCTGCTAAGGCAGCGCAATGTACTGTTTATTTGCAATATTGTTTTTTGCAATACTGATATCGCAGAAGGCTTCAATATGCAAACAAGCCCCTGACCAGTCACAGTGCTGTGAGCACCCTGGTCAATCAAGGCTCTAGATGTAATCCTTAAATCAATAATCTGACATGGTTAACTAATATTTAATATACTTCAAGGCATATTGCAACATGTAGCCGTTTAATCGCAATTATCTTCATCTTTCGCTCCACAGTATTATAGCCAGCAGTTACCAGTATCAGTTTAGCGTTATGGATACAGAGATGCAAAGTGATTTTCCACTCTTGTAGGCGTGGGTTTGTTTTTTTTATTTTTGGAGGGGTTTAACCTTATCGCTTTCAATTAGGGCAGAGTTCAACTGCTGTAAGTTTGTTTTAATAATAATCTGATGCTACATGTGAGACACACAAATGCACACTCCATACTTATGTTCAGACGAGCACAGCCCAAAGTCTGAGAGATTACTTTTATCCTGGGAGATTTCGGAAATTGTTCTAGAATTTAGCACTCCAGCCCCTCCCACCCTCGTTTGTCTCTCTCACAGTGGTATGTCTGACGGACTCCAGAAACCAAAGAGGAGGGGGGAGATTTATCCTGGTCTCTGCCAGGCTTTGGACTGCAGCTTAACAGAAACATCCCCTTTCTGTGACTGCTTCTAAGAGAGAAGATTGCCCGTCTCTTTCTGTCTGTCAGTTCTTAGGCTTTTCTGTCTGTCACACAGCCTTTGATTTAAACTTAGTTTAAAGCTTGACTAATTTTTTGGTGTGTGTGTGTGTGTGGTGCAGTGGGGGGGGGGCTTGGCTTGTCTCTCCCAGATCAAGCCTCTTGGATTTTTCTGCCTGGGTAAGCTGTGCAGCAAAGCTGGTTTTGGACAGCAGTCAGGCCAAGCAAACAGTGCGTTCCAGAGCTTTGTCAGGACAGGGTTGTAATCCGCTGTGGCGAAGAAATGCTTTTTGCTGGAGGAAAAGTCTGTTTGCAATTGAATTTGTGTCACTAATCTAAATGTGTTTTTAGAACTTAATGCATTAAAATGCTATGTGGACACAAACTTGCACAAACCAATGTAATGATGCCAGTGCAGCTCGAGTGTACTGTGCTGTCTCTAATAATACAGATATTTAGGCAAAAGAGCACTTTAATTCCTATAGAGTCCAAGTTGATTGGTTTAATTCTTCTCACGTTGGAAAGGAACAAGACTAGGTTCATTTTTAGACACATAAAACATCTTGCAACTGAGTCCTTTGAGAACAAGCTAATGAGGGGCTGATATGCCTAAAGCAGTTTTGGCTGTGAATGTTTTTGCTTTCATGAAAAGTCTGGATTTCCTTCTTAATTTAATAAACGCATTGGGACTAAACCAAGGAACGCTGTCAGTCTAGGTGTAGAAAAGTGGATGTGCTGGGGAGAGAAGTTCAGACCAAGTTGTTCTTAACGTTTTGAATAGTGGTTAAACTCTTCGGTTTCTGCTTCAGTAGTTCTATTTCAACCTTCACTCTGTGTGTGTGTGTGTGTGTGTGTGTGTGTGTGTGTGTGTGTGTGTGTTGTGTGTGTGTGTGTGTGTGTGTGTGTGTGTGTGTGTGTGTGTGTGTGTGTGTGTGTGTGTTGGGGGGTGCTTTTTTGTTTTTTTTCCTTCTCTTTGCCAATTATTTTTTGTTTACGGTTGGGGAAAAATGAAACGGCATTAGGCTTTTCTTTTCCAGTTTTTCAGAGTTCTTTCAGGATATGTAACTGCATTATAAAGTCCACGTTTTTGTCATTGGGTTTGGTCAAGCGTAGCCATTTTCTTACTTTAAATGGCTTATGACATGGCCTTCCAGCATTTCTTAAATCCTAGGTCTGACATGATTGAGTCAATGGTCTTGATAGGGATAGGGGTTAAATGTATGTCTCCTTCCTCTAAGCGGAAACTTTTGTTTCTTTCCCATTACAGTTTGGCTTAATTGAGTTCTTTGGTTACTTTGGATGTTGCAGTGATACATAAACTGATTACACTGGTCTACATTAGTGCTGTTTATCTCTACTTAACGTCCTCCATTTCATTGAATCCATTTGTTGTCTTTGTAGGCCAATAATTCCCTCCCCATACATTTATTTATTCATTCATGCGCCGCCCTCTTATTCACCTATCAGCCTACAAAGCTGTCTGTTTGTCTTACTTCCTTTAGCCCAAGTTGAGTCCATCGGTCATCTTGATCCTTTTAGATTGATGGAATCTAACAAGGAATTCCAGATCTTTTGTTGTGGTTCCAGAACACTCGTCCATTGTTGCAGACTGATTTGTGGGGGCGAAATTATAGTCCAGGCATGTGGGGCCCAGGCATTTAAACATGTCCTGCATTGTGTGCACATATAAGGAACACGTTCACTGCACTTTTTGGCCACGTCATGGCTAAAATATTACTGTTTCCATGATGTTTCATAGCACTACATTCTCCATATGCTGGCTTGTCTTTTGATGTGTTGTTTTGTCTTCTGAAGTCCTTTCCTGATGTCTTGGTACTGGTTTAAAAAGTTCTGCAAAGGACACAAACAAAAAAAAATCTTTGTTGCAGTGAACAATCACATCTACAAGCTTGTTATTCGTGTTATTCAGTGAATATGATTCTGGGTAAATGTTATATCCTGGTATCAGTGTTCATTGGGACCCAGGTAGTAATGGTTCAGATTGGTTTGCATGGGAGTACACAGAAGAATGTTAGAAAGGGAAAAGACAGGAAGTTTTGGAGATTGAGTTGCTGAGCTAATGTGCACATGTTCCACCACTACCATAATAAATGCCATGTTGTGAGGACAGAGGATAAGAGCATAGCACTAAACTGAAAAGTAGGCTGCTGGAAATTGATTAGACTTTCTTTTCAGCATACTGAGCAAAACACTAATTCCTTCGCCCATCTTTGAAACTGCTGGTATAAATGGTATAAAACGGTATAAAACAGTTTGTGAACTAATAACTTAAGCAACTGTGTCTGCAAGATCATTACTATGCCCATCTCAAAAGTTAAGAGAGTAAATTTATATAAAAAAGACCACTGGAAGGTGAAGGCCATCAGAATCTGTGTGCTGATTATCCGTATCTCTTTGAAAGGTTTTTATTAATCTTCATTTCCTCACTCTAGGCCTACTGCCCCTCATTCTACCACTTCCTCAGCTTCAATAAGACCAACAGTCACCACCACAAAACCTGCATCCTCAAGAACTGTCTCAGCCCCCTCTGCTGCCCGCTCAGCATCATTACAACCCTCTAAAGCATCAACTACAACTGCAGCAGCCAAGAAAGGTAGAGTTCTGTTTGTGTGGTAACAAAACATTTGAGGTTTTGTTTTTCACTCTGAATTATTGAGAGGGCTGCTAAAAGATAGCCATGAATAATTTCTCAGGTTGTATTTGTGGCCATGATGAGTAGAAGCTTCCATTACTTCTTCCCTCAGTGCAGCCTTTTAGTATTTAATGTTTTCATCCAGTTAAATGTCAATTTGTTTCTCTGTATTCTAGATGTTGGTAAACCTTCCACCAGTGCACCGGCCAGAAAACTGAATGCTACCAAGACCAGCACCCAACCTACAGCTACAAAAACCTCAAAACCTGAACCCCTAAAAACGGCAGCAGCTGCCAAACGACCACCTCCAGACACCAAAACAGCTCGACTAAAAGCAGATGGAAATAAGTCTGTACCAACACGGAAGGTCCCTCCAAGCCCCCGAAATATTGCTTCGCGGCCTGCTTCAAGCAAGACAGCTACAGCGTCCCACAGCCAGAAGCAAGGAGGCAGTAGTACCCCAGTTGCTGTGAAACGACAAACATCCAAACCGACACAGTCTGTTTCACCATTGGTAATCAAGGGAAAGTCTACTGAAGAACAAGCAGCAGAGACTGTTGAACCTTCATCAGCTTCTCTGGCCACTGTGTCTGCAGCAACAACTACACCTTTAGCAGCTGTAGAGTCTGTTCCAGAAGTGGAAGCTACTTCAGCAGTACAGTTAGAAGAACAGCCAGATGAACAGATCAGTGCCCCAGTGGAAGTTCAGGAAGATGAAGTGGTACAAATGCCTGCCTCGGGGACTTCAGATATTGAGATTGTTCCCACTGTGCAGCAAGATGATATTGAGCCATTAGCTATACAGCCAGAGGCTGAAGTGCCTTCTCCTGAAGTGTCTAGTTCTGCCTCTGTTCCATTTGGAGAAGAATTCCAAAAAGATGATGAGGACTATATTTCGGTCAATGTTCCAGCAGAGCAGGAAGTGACACAGCTGTTACAAGAACCTGTAATGGCTCCACCATTTGAATTATGTGTTGCTGATCCAGTGCCCCCTAAAGGCATGGAGGTGATTGAGAAGGCAGAACAGCTAATCCACAATGATGTAGATGAAGAGGAAGAGGAGAAGGAGGGCAGTCAGCAGGTGTCTGTGTCCGACATGAGCGGTACGCAGCCTACAGAGGAGTCCCGGCCTGGTTCAGCAGGTCTGACTGGATCAGTATGGCGGGCAGGAGGTCTGCTCTCTGAGCCTGATTCTGAGGATGTCAGTTGCAGTCAGCAGGGGGCCTCAGAGCTTAGTGCTCCTGGTGTCCTTGAGGGCACTGAAAGTATGGATGATCTAGGTGAGGCTAGCCTGAAAGGTGCTGATGCTGAAGGTGCATCTGCTGGATCTCCAGATTTTGAGAAGGTCCCTGACATTCCTGCCAATGAAGAAGATGAAGACGATGACTATGATGATGAAGATCGTGTCTGCGATATGGAAGTGGGATCAGAAAGAGCAGAAGACCCACACAGGCAGTGCCCTGATAATGAGGATGAGGAAGATGAAGATGTGGAAATGGCTAGTGAGGGTATTACTGAGAGTGGGCTTGAAAGTTATGGAAATGCAGATGAAGATGACTTTGCAGAAGACTACAGATTAGACAACCTGAACCGTATGCAGCCTCCACCCATTGTTCCTTCTGCACCTCCTGCAGCTCAGTGGGACCAACCAAATCTTTTTGCTGATCCTTGGGCCCAGCCACTACAACCAGACCCCACTCTCTCAAGTCCTTCCTCTAGCCCCTGGCAACCCAGCATGGAAACACCAATCCAAGCTCCTCATCAAGGCTGGCTGGATGTTGAAAATGCCAAAGGAGGCCCCTCGTGTCAATCCCCAGCTCTTATAGAGCCCATTCTAAGCTCACCTCAGCTTGCACCAGTGCCTTCTGCAGAGGATGCTAGCTTCAATCCAGGCTTGGCACCTCATCCCCAAGGCATGTCCCTGTCCAACACCTCAAGTGGCCCAGAACAAGCTGCCCACAGTTTCAGCGACACCAGCACACCTGAGGAGCTGAAAGACTACAATGTAAGCCCTGGATTGGAGAACCAGCAGCAGCAGCCTGCACCAGTCAGTCCTGTTCCTGCTGCTCTGCCAGATATCATGCAAGATCTAGGCATCCAACTTGAACAAGGTGATGAGGAGGAAGAACCGGAGAATCTGCCTGCTGATGTGTTGGGTGGTCCAGCAACTGCACCAACATCTCTGCCATCGTCCCCTTCTTCAGCCACTGAAGATGAGGCTAGTGACACTGAAGGAGAGATGCAGATCAGTGAGTCCAATGTGGAACCTGTTGCCACTGGCAAAGAAGGCTCTGGCAGCACACAAGTGGCCCACAGCTTATCTACCTTAGAGGAACGTGAGGATGCCTGTGTTGAGACAGAAGGAGGTGGTGGTAGTGACACCCCTCAGTCTGCCACCTCAGCTGCCTCCTATGGGTTTGACTGCACCACCACATCTAACTCCAATGCCCAGTCTACCACTGAGAGTTGCGCCAAAAGCCCAGGTATTTTCTCCCTGGAGAACGAAGAGCAGCTTCCAGAGGAGGCTAAAGATCCATCACTCATCAAGGAGCTGAATCTTCAGCCCACCTGTGCTTCTGGAGATATTGACCAGCTTCATCTTGAGCAACAAGGAGATCTACAGCCCAACTCGGAGCAACAGTACATGCTTTGTGGGAAGGCGAGTGAGGAGTTGCCAGAACCTTGTTCACAAGGTGGCACTGTGCCTGTTGAGGAAGGCTTGGTTAATCCTTCCTCTCCACAGCACCAAGAAGAGGACTGGGACCTTGACGCTCAGCATCCGTACTACTCCACAATATGCGAAAAAACTGATAGCTCCTTGGCAGGTAACGTATAAATTGCACTTCGTAAATGCACCTTTGTGTCCCTTGTCTCATTGCCAGGGTCTTTCCAGCTTTGTCTTAATGTTGTTTAAAAGGGAAAAATTTTACGAGTAGACGAAAAGAGGCTGATCAGAATGAGTAACATCCACCCTGCAACATATATTACTAGTACAGTTACATTTATGGATACATGGCTTAAATTCCTGTATGTGCAATAGCTACTGCTATTTACAATTAGGGCAACAGTGTTTCTCTCCTTTTCAAAATACTCATGGTGTTACCTTGAACTGGCATGAATTGTTGTGGAGTTCAGAGAATGAAAAAAAAAATGAAGTATTGAAGCAAAAAGAACTGTGGAATGGACTTTTGAAAGGTGTGTGTATTTATCCAAACCTTTTTACTGAAAATGCAAATTAATTGGTTTTGTATTATGTTTATTTACTCCTTTGAGTTTGTCGTCTGTCCTCTTTAACCTTAGTCCTCTCTCCCCCTTCATGCACATGCCCTGTTTATCTTCTGCACTTTAGGGTTTGCTTAACCCTTACCTTTAATGTTGTGATAACTGTGTGTTTTTTGAGTACTTGCTGTCGTAGCTTTAAATAAAGGTTAGACATTTAACACAATCCCTCTCTTCCCAGTATATTTCTTCAGATTGCTGGATTTTCTGAAATGAAAATTAACTTCTTTTTATCATTATAGTGGAGAAGCATGGACTTAACAATGGTGAACCGCAGCACTTGCAATGGGTTGAATATGCCCTCCATTCAGTTTGTCGTTGGTGCATCGTAAAAATCACGTGGGAGGTGGGGGGGGTTGAGATCAGGAAAGATTCAAGAGGAGAAGCACGTTTGTATAGCAAATCACCAAAGGTCACTTGGAGAATCTGTCTACTAATTTATCTTCCCACAGGATACAGCCTATCCCTAAAATGCAGCCAATACAATGAGATGCATGCAAGCCTTCCTGTACTAATCGATGTAGCCTTTTATGGAATGATGATTGGTTGGTGGGGCATTGCCCCACTAAATGACTGCCTAAAGCTGAGCCAGGCTAATCCACACTACACATTCTGTAAAAGTATATAGATTTGTTTTAATTTTAACAGATGGAACGATTAAATAAATGCCTACATATGTATTATACTAACAAAATTGGATAAACTCATTAGGCACCCCCTAGTTTTGTAATTATTTAGCCTTATTGGTGAAAGTGGTACCTTGTGTTTGGTCAGTCACTGCAGCATTATGACAGGATTTATAACAAACCAGCTGACTGGTTTTTACATAAACACCACAAAAATAAGTTAATTTACACATGAATGATGAAAAGACACCTGAAGAACATGGAGAACATTTCTGCTCTCCTGTCCCAGTGTACTTCCACTTCTGTTCTTGTGTTCCCCAACCCCCACCTTTTTTTTTTTCGCCCTTCTTTTAAATTTTTTTTAAAAACCTTGTCTCCTCCTCGATTCCCACCATCCTGAGGAGGAAGGAGGAAATGCGAGATCTGATCCTACGAGGCTTCTGGATCTCATTCTTTATCAAGGTGCTTAGTACTCCTCTCCCTTTCTTCCTCCCTTGTTGTTTTTTTTTGTTTTTGTTTTTGTTTTTTTTTAATCCCTACACCTCCTTGTGGTTTGGTTTTTTTTCTTTTCTGCTGTTTGTCTGGGACTGACCAAGTGCACTGCTTTGATTAGCAGCCAAAATTGATTTTGGTTATTTAAACTTTTTAAAGAAGCTGGCTGGCACATTGTGAGTTGCATTGAGAAGACATCAAGTCTGTTCACTTGGATGCACCAAACTACACGCACCCCTAAACTAGATGAGCTTACACTTATTTTGCTCACTGTATGTGAACTGCATGGCTGCCAGAACTGTGAAGTTTGCTGTTCACTACGGTTGCTTGACGCATGCTGTGGTGTGATGTGTGCATATGCATGGAGTTCATATGCTTATCAATAAGAACAAAGTTGGATGCACCAACAAAGTCCCTACTCACTTACTGCTGTCTTATTTTAATATGCATGGTGAGTGCTTGGTCTTGCATGTGTTCACCTAACTGCCCTGTTGAAGAGGGTTGTTTTAACCTCACAAGCTTTTCTTTTTCCTGTCTCCTCTTCACAATAGTCAGTGGTTATTGCATATACAGGGTGTGACCGCTTTCACTGCACAAACTTCTGCACAAAATCTATTCACCAAGGTTTCTCACTCTGAACAGTGTAATGCAAATGTATTGAATGTGTTTATCTATGCCTTGCTTAGCATTCCATTGTAATATGCTTTACATCCAATTCTCCCTTCCCCATCTCTCCTTTTAATGCTTTATTCCTACTGCACCCTTCACTCTTTTATTGCTTTGCCACCCTGTCCCTCTGTGTTTGATCTAACACTTGCTTGGACCATTTGCCTTTTTTTCCACAGGAAGGAACAACCGGCACCAACAAGAAGTCCTCACCATCCACATGACCATGTCACCCAAGCGCCGTCCCAGGCCACATGTGGATCATGTGACCAATCCACCACGTCTGCCTACTGATCTTCCTCCAAGAATACCAAGTGTGGGACCCAATGCCCAGCTCCGACGGCTGGAACATCACCAGCAGCAGCTCCGGCAGATCGAACAACGGCGAGAAGAGCAGAGCCAATGGGTTGAGAGTCAAGAGGAGGAAAGAATAGGGGAGAAAGAGCATGAGGCCAATGACTGCAACAGTTATCATGGTGATGAAAAAACGGAAGAGAGGAACCAAATGGAGGAGGAGTTGGAAGAAAAGAGGATGAGGGAGGAGAAAGAGAAGGAGTTGGAGGAACAGAGGAGGGATCTTCTTCAGCTGCAGATTCAGCAACAGCAGCAGGAACTGAAGCAGAGGCAACAGATAATGCAGTGGCAGCAAGAGCTAGAGCAACAACAAAATAAGCACCCAAATAAACAACACAAGACCGTGACAAAAGTTCTCCTCTCCCCTTCTGGGCTTGGCACTATCTATGAAGCACTGGAGATGAGCGATGCAGAAGAAGACCTCGAAGATGAAATGGAGGAGAAAGAAATGGTGAAGGAAGACAAGGCTGAATATAAAACCCCCAAAGAGTTATGTAGTAAGACAGAGGCAACCAAAGATCCTCCACAAGACAACACATCTCCCATGACACAAAGCACATGTTCTCTGAAATTCATCCAGGACCAAGTGGGGCTCACCCACCCTGCAGCTCCAGACAGCCCTCCTCTAAATAATTCAGAGCAGCCCTCTCCTCTGGAGCTGGACTGGGGCAAGAAGGTTGACATTGTCCAGCAGCTGATCAACCAGACGTTGCTGCTGGCTGGAGACAGCTGCTCCCCGCTGCTTCTTCTGCCTGGTGGAGCAGGCGGGACACTGAGCCCCCTAGAGACCAGCCTGTGGCCGAACCTGTTGCCCCCACTCACTCCACCTTCTGCCACAGTTACCTCGGTGAGCAGCTTTTCACCAGAGGCTTCAGGTTCTTCTCAAGGGGAGTGGACAGTAGTAGAGCTGGAGACTCATCATTAAGGTTAGTGTTAGACTGAGCAGGCTGAAAAGGCGATATTTGGAACTCAGGGTCTAGAGCAGAGGTTTTTTAATCTGGACTTTAAATCCTGTTTCCAGTCCAGTGGATTTTTTGGTCACTGGTAGGTATGACAACTAGGTGGCCAACCAGGAACATCAGGTCATTTAACTATCAGTGATGACAAATTGAGACTGGCAATTAGATTCAGGGTCTAAATTTGAAGACCTCCCATCTGGAGCATTGGCCATCGATTCTTGTCTTTTCACACACAATTTAGCTCCTCAACTCATTAATTACCAGGCTTAGTCCAACTGTGAAACTCATCCACGCTAGCCTTTTGAGAATAGAATTGATGTTCCTTGATGTAGAGCAGGGGTGCCTAGTCCTAGTACTGGTGATCTCTTACCCTTCAGAGTTTAGCTCCAACCTTAATCTAGCACACCTATCCAGGCAACTGAATATTAGATGCTCGTGTGTTGGATCTGAACTCTCCTGCTAGATCTCCAGGACCAGGACCCCTGGTGTAGAGGGTTAGAATAGTGTCCAAGTGTTTAAACTAAAAGTATGTGCGGTTGAGATGCCTTTTTCATTCACTGTTTTACAAGCAATCTATGGACTTCTGTCTGATTATGAACCAGCAGATTTGATCACAGCCAAGGTTACCATGTTATATCTGATACCCTGTAACCACTTATACAGTTTCATTTACAGTGACTGATGCTGTAAATGCTTTCTGTGGAATTTCATTGTCACCCTTGCCCTCAGTCTCTCAATTTAAGAGCTACTGAACACCCAGCAATTTACTACAGCTGATTCACTATCTACAATATACAGTGTATTATGGTGAGACATCATATACACTTCCTCACCTCTGCCAGATGGCTTTGCTATTTCACACCAGCCCTCAGAGCCAAAAGGCTGTTTACTTAAGTTTACTGAACGCCTGGCTACCTTTCTCAAGGCACATTTATATTTCAGCTGTGTTGCTACATCACGCAGAGTAGTTTGACTAATAGTACTGTGCCAAAATCTATGGCAAAACTCTTGGTGTATTTCTGTCAGTTATATCTTCTGTGGACAGTGCTCTCAATGTCTGGAGAGAAGGCTTTTGTAATTGGAACCCTTTCTAAGATTTTTCTATGGAGGTTTCTAGAATATCTAGTATGGTCAAACAAGAATGTTGCCAATTGACCAGATGTTTTTTGTTCTGTCCGTGTTATTTTTATGGACTAAAGCACTGCAAACCACTAAGGCTCTGAGACAGAGGAAGTGCACTGTTTTTAATTTGGTGAACTATCCACCAGGTTCTTAAAGATAAATCTTTTTGTTTTTTTTTCTTCAGTCCTATGCTTCTGCCAGCATACTGCTGGGAATGAGCTCTAGAAGCATTAAAGATTAAGCCATGGTTTGCTTCCTTCTATAAACTTTTTTAGTATGTTTCAGTAAAATGAAGGGTTAGCTTAAAAGGAACTTAGTGCTCTGGACTTGGATCACTTTTTAAAATATAGCCATTACTTGTACTGTAATGTGAGGCATTATGTAGCATATTACGTATGGGAAAGAAATTTATAGGAATTATGACAGTTGAGTGAAGGCTTGTTTACCTATTCCTGATTAGCAGCCCTTTCAGTTTCAGACCAGATGAATTAAGTAGCTAAACAATTATATATTCATTCTGATAAAAGGGAAATCAGGGACTTAATTTACTGAATGATCAGCAAAACTGTAGCTTACACTGCAAAATGGTGCTCAGTATTTCTTGGGAGAAATACGGTGTTCTGATAACAAAGGATATTCATTCATAAGCACAACCATATACCACCATAGATTAGTTTTCTAAACTTTAGCTGTTAAAATGCACTGATATCAGTCTGTAATAGTAGACAACACTGACAAAAAGCCATGTTGGGTCTTGTTTGTTGTGCCTCATTAAAGTTCCTGAGAGCTTTTTGTTTTGTCATCTTATGTATATGGTCCTACACTGTGACTGACATGAAGTGTACATGTCAAATTCTTTATATTATAAAAATGTCTTGTATGTCATTCAGTGTGCTGTCACACTGCCAACCCCCTGTTAAATGTGTTGATGTATTTGTATATTTTATTATTTTTCTAGATTTGTGGCCACATTATAAAATGTACACAATCAAAGCTGTGGATTTAAGACTGCTGTAAATTGGCACACCTGCACAATGTTTGAAATATTTCTTTCCTAACTAGTCTATAGTTAAAACTATAGATCCTCCTTAATTGTTATCCTGTGATTGTCATTGTCTTTTGAAGGTACTGTATGTATTTGTTAAAGTTATTATTAATCATGTTTTTAAGGACGTAGATTTGAAATGGATGAAAATGTTAGCCCTTTAATCCACATTGTAGCAAGATTACGTGGGTCATAACTGGTATGTAGATGCACATAAGTAGATTATTTAATTTGCAGAGTATATACTTTTTTTCAGGCTTTTTAGGTGTTTTAGACATTGTTTAGGTTCCTTTTGAAAGGCTTTTTAAGTAGAAAATGAAAGGTTTGTCACTGTACACTACAATCAGGGAGTAATACAATTCCAGGTATATTCAGACCAACACTGTCTTGCTGTTCACTATTTTTGGAATATCATTTTCATAGTATGATGGTCATCAGGCTTACACACTATACTGTATGTAAAGCATAACGGAGCTGTTCATGTTTAATGGTTCACTGTAAATAACGTAACTTAAAAGCCTGCCCTTTTACCACACATCAACTCTGTGATGAGCTCAAACTGAATATGCACAATGAAGGAAAACGTAATTTAGTTTTGTTACGTACATCTGACCATGTATGTATATTTTTATAATTTATTTTAAAAATGAAGGGACGTATTATTTTTGTATTTGGTTCTGTTTGTATAAGTGGGCATCAGACCATGGCAGCTCATTTTAATCAGAAAAAGGTTTTTAGACTTGAGGTATTACTACTGGTCTGTTATATCTTTTGTTTCAATAATGAGAAATAAAACTGGATTGCTGTATGAACTTTGGCTTTTATTACTTTTCTTGAACATTTCAGCTGTAACCCTTTAAAGCAATAATGTACATAGAACAAACGCTGCCTAGGACAAACACAGACCAAAACCAAACAGTGATAAAAGAAAAAACACCTGTATAAAATCTATGCTACCAAGAAGGATAACAACATTGAAACAAAAGTAAATGAGTATTATAAATGAGAGAAAACGACATTCTGGCTGTACTGGCTGAAGAGTGCTACATCAGTCTCTTAAGTTGTTCTAACATTGCTGCTTGGACCTGCCTGAGACAATAGCAGCTCCAGCAGGCAGTCTGTGGCAATGCAGGATGAAGGCTCTTCCTCACCCAGACACACTAGCTGCCTGTACAGACCCTGAGGAACCGCGCACAAAACCCTACAGTGCAAACACACAAGCATCAAACTTCTTATATAGCACCAGATGCACATTAAGGCCTAGTTACAGTCACAGGATGAGCCCAAGTCAAATAATAATGCATTAGTACAGTCAATTGTGATATTTTTGCCATGTCACTCAGCCAACTAGAGGCTGTTCTTTCTTGTTGATTTTGGACTGTTATCAGTTTTAATTTATTAGAACAAAGCTCAATAAAACATGAACTCATTTTTTGGCCTACATTTTCTAAAATCTTGGTGTATTTTTTTTATATTCTACTTCTGTGTAAATAGTTCATCCAGTAAAATTTGTCTAGTATTAATTCTAGCAAAATATTGAACTGAATTGAATTATAATGAACACTGAAATTTCATGATGCACTGACATGTTTCCTAAAAAAATCGTAAATAAATCAAACTGTGAGTTCAGACATTTACACCCCCTGTTTCTAGTGAGATGTAGCACACAATAGAGGGACCAGGTAGTCATTTCAGACTCAGCCTAAGAAGTCTGACTCTACTAGAGGTTTTTAGTTCACTACAAGCCAAAGATCTTCCACATTTTGCAAATGACCCTAGATCTGAGAGGGCCAAACCTCATTAGATCATTTTGGATTTGCACAAGTGATCCATTGTAAGGAAACAACAGTTTCATCATTAGTTTAAAATAGTCATGAATCCCCTCCTTGTGTTAATGATGAGATGGGTTTGTGTTTGAGTCTGTTACCACTCATAGATGTCCTCAGTTTCTGGATCAGGGTATGTCTGCACCCACTGCCCTATAGACCACGTCCTTACTGCTCTGTCGTCTGCTCTCATTTCTCTCACTGCTTCTCCTTCTCCTGCCAGCACAGGAACATCCTCACAGCACAGGAAATAACTGCAACAGGATTACAGCATAATGAACGTCTTCCTCTGGGAGCACAAACTAATATGTGCTGTGAAGTACAATTATCATGTTTCATGAAATATGACATAGTTGAATATACACAACATTCTATTTGATTGCATTCAGCTACAAGAACACTAGTGAGGTCAGATACTGATGTATGATGAGTTCTTAACCACAAACGCCACTCCAACTCATGGATGGAGCTCCATCACTCCAGAGAATGCAATTCCACTACTCTACAGCCCACTGCTGGGGGGCTTTATACGCCTCTAACTGACGCTTGGCATTGGGCATGATGACCTTATGGTCATGTGCAGCTGCTTCACTCAGTGTCTCATTCTACTGGCAATGCTCTTCTATGGAGATTTGTACAAGCAGTAGGTCAGCTATTGGTGCAACTTAAAGTAGCTGAATTCACTAATTAGAAGGAGTGTCTGGATACTTTTTGAAATATAGTGTACACTATATTTTTTTAAAAAATGCACTGTGCTTGTACATCTATACCCACAACACAAACTTCAGAATAAAAATGATCATCTAAGAGCCTGTTTATGACAAGTGTTTACGCACAATCAAAGCAAACGATATGAACTGCTATGAATGGCTACTTCATGAGGGTTTTAGGTGCACCGGAGATGCAGGTGAGACTAAGTGTATTTGTTTCTTCAAGCAGAACTACATCTTACAGAACAAAGGTGAATACATTTGTCATCGTTTTACTCCATAAGCATCAGAAAAAGTGGGTCAGTTATCCCTTTAGTTCTTGCAGAATGTACAATATTTTAGGCATGTATGGCATAATTTCAGGAGAAGCAGGAAAATAATTCCTTAGATTTGTATGTAATGTGGGAAAACTGATGAGACCAGACTTCTATTTGTCTAACTGTGATGCATTTATGTGGCCAGGTGTAAACAGAGTGCTAAAAAATCTTATCTGGACATGAAGTGACAACTGTAAGCCGGCTCTAAGACAATTTCCTAGGGCAAAATCACGCATTTCACTTGTTCATATTTATTTCTTCTCGTTTTATTGATCTATAACATAAGCACTACACTGACACGTAAAAGTCTGGTGGGCAAAACAGCCCCCGTCTGAGGCGGGTAATGAAGTGCACTGTAACAGTAATCTGAGACACTGCCATTGACTATCTAGGCCTGCAACACACTACTTCCTGCCTCACTGCATGGAAAGATGCAAGTAAAATGCTCTGAGAAACAACCAGCAATCGATTCCATTCTCTCTCAGTCTCACTCACTACTCTGTACTGTTGTCTCGCTCTCCTTCCAGCCTTTCCTCTTTCTTTTCCTTTTTTTCTGCACCCTCTGCCTCTCGTGTTCCTCCCATCCCCCTTTCTTTCTTTTCTTCTTGTCCTCCTCCTCCTCCCTCTGTCTCTCTTACTCGCTCCACGTTCCAGCGCATGCGCTTGTACAGGCCACTGTCAGCTGAGGTCAGGAACAGGGAAGGGAGGCAATAACGGAAGATTGACAGCCTGATGTTATCTACCTGACACTGACCAATGTAGAAATGAGAGATACTGAGAGAAAGAGAGAGAGAGAGAGAGAAAGAGTAAAGCTAGATGACGGTAAGCAAGGCTCATATATCAAGTACAGTGTCAAAGCGCAAATTCTGAATACTGATTAACCACCACCTTCCATTTAATCAAAATCATTAGGGTAATAAAAAAACTGTTAAAATTAACAGAATCAAGCTTAATAATTTGCAAATATTTTCATTTTATCAGGTCCACCTACCTGTAATTGAAGCTTTACAATAACAGATAGAAGATCTGTTTCTGTGAATAATTTGTTAGGCCCCCTTTATATCATTCATCAATGGTCAGGACCCCCACATAATGATCTACCTCTAGGTCCAGCATTCTATAGCACCTCTTTAAAAAGTCCCACATTTAAATTAGCATACAATGAATGTGCTTGTGTGGTTATGTTTGCTTATCGAAGACGCCACAAAGTTAAAGCAGGTGTTTTACAAAGCACGGTTTTTCAGTTTAGCCAGATAACTTAGGCCTACAGTCAAGTGAATCCAACAGGAAAAGAGCTGTGGGACACTGCTATTGTACTTAACTTTGGGGTCAAGTTATCTGGCTAACTCATGACATACATTACAAGAAACATGTTAAATATGGTCCATGTATGTAGGTTTTAATGACTAACAGTGTGCTTACCTTCAAAGCTTTTACAGTTTAAACAGAAGCTAAATTGTGTTCAAACTGCATGATCACCCTTTCTTGTTTGTTAACATGTAAAAGCGAACCAGACGGGACATCAGCTCTTACCACAGGGGGTTCTCCTCCACCAGAGAGAGGTAGCCAAAAGAGGCATACATTATCAGCAGCTGCTCCAGCCGACTGCACAGCTGCTGAGAGAACTGCAACAGCTGCAGCAAGTGACACATAAGAGATGATGAATGTGGATGTATTTACCTCAAACACACACAAATGCAAGCTCGGTCTGGAACTGCGCTCATAAAATATCTCAGAAACAGAGCAGTTCAGCCACGGTCGTAAATAAGACTACTGGTTAAAATGTAAGTAAATTTAAACTGAGAATAACGCAGTCTTCAACTTTCCCCCTGTGGCTATTTTGGTACGGCTATTGGATTGTCTAAAGCAGCATTCCTGTCCATAAAAGCGCTATTAATTTCATCTTCTCAGTTATTGGTGTAAACACTGATGTAGCACTGGAAACATGAGCAATATCTGAGTTGCATTTGAGCCGCAAAATGCTAAATGTTTTTAATACCAATGAGCTTGTTTTCTTTGTAGATTTGCAGTAACTGAATATATTAGAGACCACGCAGGTTTACTGCCAAACCTCATACATTTTATTCCCTTGCTGTGATTATCATTATTATGGCAAAAATCTGCTGTTTTCATTTGAACAAAACATTCCTTATTTATTTATTTTGAGAAAACAGAACTGAGTATTTTACCCTAGTATTAAAACTCCTACACAGGCTGGCAGTTAGTCACAGAACTGATTTTAAAGTTTTGCGACTTATCTAACAATGACTCAATAGCTTAGGACCAAAATACATCTCTGATCTTCTCAAAGAAAAAAACCTAAAAGCCTTCGCAGATCACTCAGACCCAAGCATGGTGATCCAGCATTCAGCTTGAACACCTTCCAAAGCTGGAATCAACTGCCAGAAGACCTCAGATTACGTCCAATCTTTACGGGTCAGACTCAAGACACCTTTTTTTCCCATGACTTTGACACTTTCTGTCAAGAACAGTGGTCACCAACCCTGGTCCTGGAGATCTACTCTCATGCAGAGCTTAGTTCCAACCTGAATCTAACATGCCGCCCCACTTATCTAACACTAATCTGATGCACCCAATTGAGGACTTCTGAAGAAGTTCATTAGCTGGAGAAGGTGTAGCAGATTGTGGCTGGAACAACTCCAGTGTTGGCGATCAGCGCTCTAGGCTTTGTGCTTCTTTTAAAATTCATCTTTTATTTCCTTCTTTTGTTCTTATACTGTTTTTATTTGTGCTTTGCACTTTGCATTGCATTGGTGTATAACAAAGTGTTATGTAAATAAACTTGCTTTGCCTTTATTAACTGGAGTGACACTCACAATCAAACCTTGAAAACAATCAAAGATTACTCAGAATATTCCAAAAGAAAGCCAGGTTTCCCCAAACGTCACAGCCACTGTACATCAACAGCTTGTCTGCCTGCTGTACAGTGTACTGTGTGGTTCATCTCTGGTGAACAAACTGACTATAGGTTCTATGGGTTTTACAGTATGCATGTTAACATTCATTTTTCCAATACAGGGGTTGCAAAACAATGCACACTGTGAACTGAATACAAATAGATATACTGCTATAAAACCATCATTTACAGTATTGTACAGAAGTCAGAGACCACCCTTAATTCTATTTAATTTCTAGTCAAAACGGCATTTAAATATAACTTAATAATTTTCTGCAGCAGGAAAAAAAAGAAAACCTATATTCAAATGAAAATTACAGAGAACCCTCAACAACTAAATATAACTTTTCAGTGTTTAGTGTGTCCACCCTTTGCATTTATCACAGCTTCCATTCTTTTCAGGAGACTTGCTTTTAGTTTTTAAAGAAACCTGCAGAGATATTTTCAGTCTTGGGTTGCATTTTCTGTTTCTTACAGTCCAAGTTATCCCAAACACCTTCAGTGATGTTGAGGTCTGGACTCTGGGGTGGTCAGTCTGCTGTTCTGAGAACACTGCGGCCTCTTTGATTTGCAAATGTTCTTTTTTGTCTATTTCCTTTTCTCAGTAAGAGCTTCTTGTCAGCTACACATCCTTTCATACTCATAGTGTTGAGTTCTCTTTTCAAAGTGGAAGGATGGACAGAAACACCAATGTTAGATCTGAAGTAAGAGTGGAGCTTGATTTTCTCCTCTCTCTCAAAGATGAAAGCTTTCAGTGCTGTTTATCTGAGGGGACAGTTATGGTGTTCTACTAGGTCTTGCATGGTAGTTAGGAGTCTTATTTTTTCCAGTTTTAGAAACTTGTTTTTCACCTATTTTGCTTTCCTGTTCCTTTGGAGAAAGGGGGTGATTTTATGTCTTCAGGAATATCTGCTGAAAAAGAATAACATGTATTAATGGCCATTTTGTCTGAAAACTAATAAAGGGTGGTGTCTGACTTTTGATAGAGTACGATACTGACATAAACTGAATGGTTTCCAAGGTTCTATTACAAAATGCTCCATGATACTCCTAATAGAGACAACAGTAAAAAAAAAAAAACAACCCTATTTTATACCCGAAACCTTTTGCCAATTTGCCGTCTAAGACATGTACTTGTTTCTGTTAATTATGTTTTTATCAAATGCTGCTGTCTTGTTGGGATAACTGGAGTTTTTACTACTGTATCAAAAATGCACAGGCAAGAACCACAATACATACTGTGTCACAGAATCTGTATAGATAAACCCCTAAAAGGTTCTTACCCGAGTGCGAATGTACATGGGCAGTGGAGTCCGGTCAGGTGAGGAGTTGCGGGCTGTGGACTCCAGGTAGGTGAAATATGGCTGACAGGTATGCAGAAACGTTGGCACCACACGAGCGAAACCCTCACTCTGGAGCCGGTCTCGACTACAAAACCCATACAGAGGGTTATTTTTGGTTGGCCATGATAATTTAAAATATTTATCAACAATGTTTTTATATAAAATCACTGTGGTTTTAAAAAAGTGTTGAGATCTGGAATAGAGAAGGATCAGTAGCAGACATATGTAAAATTATGTATTATAGTTTTCTGTGTTTATGTTTTATTAGCTAAACATTTTGCTGTGCAAAGACACTTGTATATGGGTACAATGTGATGCTGACACATCATGATAATGAATCTCTGCTGTAGCGATTTTTTTTTTACCATTCTATTTGACCAGTAATGATAGTTATATCCATGATATATTACCCAAAAAATAGTAGCATTCATGCTGTTAGTGATTTAATTCTACTTAGTGCATTATACTCAAATTATGCTAGAGCTGAGAGTTCAACTTTAACACAATGGGAAAATATTTTGTTAAAACAGATCAAAAAGCACAAAAACTAAATAAACAGTAAGTTAGTATTGACTTTATTAATGCTACCTTATATATTGCTTGATGCCATGATATTATTGGCACCTAAGCACATTGTTAAAAACCATTTAGCAATACATGCTTTTGCTTGTAAAAACACCATATATCACCGGAATAGATGCAAATTAACACAAATATAGTAACAAAGGTAAAAATAATTTACTGTTTTGAAAAAAGTAGAAAATATTGTCTAATTTGCAGAACAAAGTTTGGTTCCAGATGTCAACACCCCTGGTCAGAATCAATATAAGAATCACACCCCTAGTCACTGGATGGATTTGCAGTTATTCTGATATCAATGTATTTCTGAGCAAATGAAAGTTTACTGCACAGATAAAGAGCTTTTTAATTCAGCTTTCCTCAGGGGCCTAGACTTTGCACAGTACGATATTTGGAAAACACAGTGATACTAAATTTTCATTATCAGTATCAATCAAAGCACTTTAAAAGAAAGCAATAACACAAAGATGATTTTCCCTGCACCTGTGAATGAGGTGTGTCTGGAACTCGTCTGCTTTGCTTAAGAGATATTGGAGTTGCTCTTCTATGGGATGCAGCTTTTCATCCATCATTTTCAAGCAGGATGGAGCGCAGTGCGCTTCTTCACCGGCAGAGGGCGCCGCCGTATTGCCATCTACAACCACAGGCGCGGAACAGGGCTTTAACAGAATAGACGAGGATTTTTGGAGACAGTTAGCGACACTTTATTTTTCAGTCTAACTTACCGGCTCCTGTCTGTGGTGGTTCGGGATTATTCTCGCTACTTTCAGGTATCAGTTCCTCGTGAACTGCCCTCGACGTCCGCCATCTCTGCGCTCCGAAAATAGCGGTTACTAAGGTTAGCGAGTTAGCCGGTTAGCTGCGCACACAAATAAAAGTAATGTTAAATAGCAAACACAGTGATTCCGCCGGGTTCTGTCTAACTTTAGTGATACTATTAAGACAAAATTAAGTAATCCAAGTTTTAATTTAGCTTAAATCAATTAGTTTAAAGCAGCAATCTGCACTGGTGATGTGAAGTCGATCACGAAAGAATCAATTCTTCGACTCCAGCTAGTCTGGGAGTCGGGGTCGACTCTTGGGCAGTGACTCTAAGAGCCGAAATGTTTGGAGTCGACTCTTCGATTCAGTGTTTTTTCATCGTTTTGACAGAAGCTGATGTACAGCAGTAAAAAGTCTCACTGGTGTGAGTTTGTTCAATTGCCAGCTTTAAACAGCGCCAGCTCTGCTCACAAAACCGCTTTCGATTCTCCCTTTCGATCCGCCCTGCACCGCAGCTCTTTATTTTCGTCATGATTTGTGTTGGAATAAACTATTATTAGAAACGGTAGAAGGAACGAAAACAAAAAAACAATGTTTTTACAGACCGTTGTGGAAAACCGGATGAAGCCGAGGCTCATTTTCTGACAGCTTCTTATTTAAACCGTTCCACCTTAAGTGGGCCGCAGTTACTTTCTGGCGCCGACGTTTCGTTAAAGCAGGGGTCGCAACCCAAATGTTAAGAAGAGCCATTCTGTCCTTTCAACAAAAATCAGACCACCTTGGGAGACACAACATTTATGTCCATTTTACTGTCGTGGCTGTAAAGTGTCTCAGTGTGCGCTAATGTCCTGGTATAGGCAAAAAATATAATATAAACGAAAACACGGCTCTTTCACCAGCTTCTTGTTCTAGTTTCCCCGTTCCACCTTAAATGGTGCCGGAGGCGCCAGAGTGTGACTGCTGCACCGTTTAAGGTGGAACGGGACAATTCGAACAAGAAGCTGGCTTCAGCTTAGCGACGTTAGTATTTGAATTTTCTCGTTTCAGATTAAACGTTTCAAGACACCAACTGGAGTGATTATAATACAAACAGGTCAACTCGTCTCTGATTTATCTATGTCCGTCTTAAATCTCTCTATTTACCTGTTCTTTAACCGCTAACTAGGTGAGACGGGTGTCCGCGTTGCTGTGGTGACCAGTGGTCTGCACGCCAACCTTCAGGGTTAAAGGTCGGTGGATAAGCAGTTACACATTAACTCCAGCGTTTAAGACCATTTAGTGTTAAAACTGTGTAGGAACGATCAGCAGAGCTTTGTTTTACTGGAAATGATGATTATTTACCTAAACAGTCGAGCTAATTCTGCTCTGGAGCCGCAACAGGGCAGTAAAAGAGCCGCATGTTTCCGACCCCCCGCATTAAGGTAACTGCTGCATCACTTAAGGTGGACCGGAAAAATCGTATAGAACCTGTCGAATGAGAAGCCAAATTTAGCTTCTTAAAAACAGGAACACCATAGCTAGCATTTCCTTTTTCAAAGAACTGAAAACAAAATGAAAACATTTCCTTTTCAAAGGATTCGTACTCCGTCAGCACACTACTCAGAGGTCCCCTTTGGATAAAATGGCAGTGATTCCAGGGTAGGTGATGATGTGGCTGGCAGAGGCGGTGATACAACTACAATTGAATATCACACTTAACATTTTAACTTTTAAAATGATTTATATCATATTTAATCCATTAGTCTTTATCAGTCTGACCACTTCACTAAAATTAAAGGGGAACGCCACCGATTTTTCAAAATTTCTGCATAAATGGTTGAGATGTAAACGAAGTCATTCAGAGTGTTTTGGTGTTAAATGCTTTATTCTAGAGAAATTTACAGAGCCAGAATTGTTCACAGTGGTGGTGATGGGAACCAGACGTCTGAAGTGTTCAATGCCTCTAAAACAGAGGTCACTGAGATGCAAACCGTGGTCCGAGTCTGGACCCAGACGCTGTCCTGTGCAGACCTGGACCTATAACCGATAAACTATGGACAATTATTTAATTTTGATGGGAGGGGTCTATTTTAATCGGTGTAACTTTTCCAGCCTGTGCGGTACCGCTTTAGTGGCCCGGGAAACTCACAGACCAATCGCATGCGTTGTAAATATCACGCGTCTACTCAGCCAATCAGATCTGTATATTACAATGAGCACTGAGACTCGAGTGAGTGACGCACACACAGGTTAGGGACGAGGCGAGACACAGCAGTCGGAGAAGAAAGTGAGTCAAAGGGAAGTTATTTCACATTACGTGCTCTAAAAAGAGAAAACTGACAATAAATGTTGTTGAAATATTACTGAATTGTACTTTATTTGATTTGACATTCAGTTGTCGACTACATAAGATGTTGATATACCTACTAGGCTACTTCAGTATAGAGTGTATGGCATTGAATCATAATGCAGGTTAGACAAATTTTCTCTAACTGGACCTTATTGAATTTTATTTAACCACCCCTGCTCTAAAAACTCCCTCACAGGAAGTTATTACACAAATCAATATATTACATGACGTCATCAACGTCACATACAAAACTTAGAAGATATGTTTAGGTTCACTGGTGGTTTTGAATTGCAAATTAAATGGCTATATTTGTGTTGAAGACATGGTGACCCTTGGTTCCTATCACCGCCACTGCAAAGAAGCCTGTGTCGGCAAGTTTCTCTACAATGAATCATCGCACATCAAACCACTCTGAATGACTCTGTTTACATCTGAACCACTAAATTATACAGAATTTGTGAAAGATCAGTGGAATATATTGAAGCATCGTTCTCTTAGGTTTGTTCCATCAGACAGAACTGCTTGGTGTGCTCTAACAGGAGGACTTTGGTTTGATTCCTAGGAGAGAATAGTTTACACACCTTTACATTAGTAGAGAAGTAAGGTCACCGCTGCCCTGAGGGTAACAGGAGCTGTTAGGCCAACTTAAAGCTGTAAAAGTACCTGCAGATTTCTAAATCAGTCTCTCCAAAGCAAATTAACACGAGGCTCAAATTAGGACACATAAATGACAGGACTGACATATGTAAGCTTGGTTTAAGCGAATGATAATTACGATGCAAATAACACCAAAACAGTTGTAGACACACCCTTATAAAATCTATTAGCAAATATAATTTCTCTATATTGCTGTTTAATACTTCTATATTTTCGATAATATTCATGTAGCACTGTTTAATAGTTTTCTATGATATACACAGATCTTTAAAAGGGGCAGTCCAAATACACGTGAATGCTTTTTAATTGACTTTTTACGTGTTGGTATGGAAAATGTTCCATATGAAGGTTTTCCCGAGACAGCAGGTGTCAATATTTACATTGATAACTTCGAACCGATCACGCTTTATTGTCCTTTTCCTCAGGCTGGTCACGTGACGCGAGGAGCGCGCTCCCGCTGCCCTGTTGTCTGTGCGCGCTCCCGAGCCATCCTCAGTGAGTTGGAGAAGCGCGGTCTCTATTCAGACACGCCGAGCGGTTCAACCGGCAAAAAACACGCGTACAGCGCTGTTTTATTCGCAGTTTAAACGGATACCGACAACTCCGGGCGATGGCGAGCGGCGGTTTGGACGGTTTCGGTGCCGGTTCAACACACGAAGACTAAAAGATACGGCTCGGTGAGATGCGTTGAATAAAGCGAGGAAGGCTCAGCTCAGCACAGCTCAGCTCAGCACAGCACAGCTCTTCCCTCCTGGTTTGGCTAGCAGACCCTGCCCATTTCCAGTGGTTTGGGGTTTTGGAAGCGGGAGACCAGCATGCTTCTTCTAGCCGGGGTTTGACTTGGCTCTTTATGGATGAACGTCTTCAGGCTTTTAGTTAAAAATAGTCGTCGTTGGAGAAGCATGAACTGGACTTTACATCTTCAGATGAAGATATAAAACCTCTTTCAGAAATCACTCTTAACTTGTAGCTGTTATTCAACGTTTGTTCCTCTTCCCTTCTGAGAACAGACGTGGTGGTTGAAGCCCACATGACATTGACTGGATGGACGTTGGACGCCCATGAATAAGGCTTTAGTTTAAATGTGTCAGATTTTATTGAACATCTGTTATCTTTTACTTTAAGAAAGAGCTCTGGACGTGCACAGCCCCTTTGTTAGTGACCACTGATTCTCTGGAAGGAGGGAAAGCAGAAGAAAACAACGGTTGCTGCTTCTTGGAGTGCCTGACAAGCCATCTGGGTTCACCAGAAACACCTTTTTACCTGAAACAGAAATGGCAAACGACTCAATTCAGGTGAGTGACTTCACGTGAAGTGGTTTGATGCTTGTTCACAGAGCTAATGTCACTGCCACACTGCAGGCTGATCCTTTTCACCTGTGACATTGTGAAACATATAGTAACATCAGCCACTTCACCACACATAATCCACTGCATTCAGGCTGCGCTGCTGTGGCAGGCTGATTCCATGTAAACGCCCTGTGGCTATTGAGGACCTTCCTAATGGCCATGCTAACAGGAAAGCAAACCGCTGGCCAGTGTTTGTGCTGTACACAGTCTTCTGAAAAGCCCTGGTGAGACTCCATGGACACTTGCTGTGTGTCAGATACCAATATTTATGTTTGCCTTGCCACCTCCTACGGCCATGTGTGGTGTTACACATTGGGGCAGCTGATTAAGGCTTCGACACTTGAATCTGTTGTCCCTCCAGCTCTTTATCGTGAGTGTTATCAGCTTGTGCCAGAAGAACTTCTAGGCTTTTTCCAGACCTTCCAAAATAAAACGCAACAGAATTTCACATCTAAATATTGAACCGGCCCTCATGGTCCAGCCAAATATGTATGGAGTAAGAGAAACTACATTCTTAACTTGAGCTGGCACTGTACCACCATATTAAAATATTTGAACGTATTGATGTTGAAACCTTGATTATTGGCTGATCTGATGTTTTCCTTTAAAAACTACTGCACTTTTAAAATGAGCTATTTTTAATTGACTCTCCTAACAGCATGACATCACACAATGTGAATGTGTGCTATTGAGGCTAGACTTGTTACACGTTCTTAAAAAAGGTGGCCCTTCAAGGGTCTTTAGTAAATGGTTTCATA